CGTGAATAGTCTAGGGACACGGGCGTGGACGAGCGCCCCCTACCTCCTGGAGAGGGCTTTGCCCAGTTGGGACACACTTATCTGAAGGAAGGGAGCCCAGGATGCATCTCCCTGTGGGTCAAAGCAGCCATCTGGGTCCCCACTCCCCTGAGATCTCTTGCCTGTTGCCATGGAACAGGGTATCTGTGATACAAAAACATGGTCCCAACAACATGTTGCTCCATCACCTGTTTCCCTAAGCTTGAGTCAAGGTGCTTTGCTGTTACTCTGACTTCACTAGGGAGCTGGCTGGGATGTTGTCATCACTCCCATTACTCACACGTGAGACTGGGGCTCAGAGAGACGAAGGCCCTTGCCCACAGTTCCATGGCTCAAAAGCGGCAACCCATACTGGGTCCTCTTCACTGGGGTTTCGCTTTGCTTGTGGACAGTGGCCACTCCCCACCTGACTCAGAGATCCATGCTACATCCCCCCGGAGATTCTCTGTCATGCCTTGAACTTGGGTCCCCATCCCCCCACACATCCACTCCCTTGTCATAGACCATATCTGGGCTGCTTCTGCATACCTGGCCCTGTACTAGGAGTTGGAGGGTGTGGGCACAGGAGAGGAGAGAACAGGAGGAGGGCCTGGTGTCTGTCTCAAGGCCCCTGTTGCTATAGCAGAGAGGATGTGTCCACAGGTGTAGGTCCAGGCAGCATGGGGTGGAGAGAAACCCCAGCTTGGTGCCACAAGGCCTGGTTGCCTGCCCCAGCTTCCCGCTGCCAGGTGTCCTTGGACCTGTTGCTGGAGCAGGTGGAGCCTTCTCTTTGGCAAGCCAGCCTAATGTTCCTCCTCTGTTCTTCTAGAAGTTGTTTTGCAACAATAGCCAGATAATGACCACGTAAGTGCTGTAATAAAATGCCACTGAAACATAAAGGGCCTTGATCACTCTCAGGTGATAGTCACTTAGCTGCCTGCCAAAGCCATACAGGATAAAGCAAGAAAAACCACATCAGCGGCTGAGGTGCCCCAGAAAGGTTTCCTGTAGGAGGCGAGGCTCCGGCCTGAGAGGTGGGAGGTGCACTCCAGGCCTGGAGACCTGACGGTCAGAGCTAGGGGTGGCCTTAGGTAGGCTGTCTGGATGCAACCAAGCAGATGGGATTCATGGGCTGGCCAAGTTTAAAGCAGGTCAGGCTGCCCATTGACACCTGAATAGATAAATACAAGGGTCCATTCGCACACGGAACCACCATGCAGAGAGGGGAGGGAGGCTCCCACTTACACTCAACCCCAAGGATGACACTCACAAACACAGTGCTGAGTGAAAGACTCCTGACATGAAAGGTACATACTGTATAATTTCCTTTATAAGAATATCTCAAACAGGCAAAATTAATCCATACAGAAGGCAGGATGGTATTCCCCTGGGGTGAGTAGGGACTGCGAGGGAGTATGGATGGGGGCTTTGGGGTGCCAGCAATGTCCTGTTTCTTGATTTGGATGCTGATTACACAGGTGCATTCAGTGTAGGAAAATTCATTGAGGTGTAAACAAGATGTGTGTACTTTTCTGTACATATGTTATACTTGACTAAACATATAACGTATGTTATACTTGACTAAAAAATGTTTTAAAAAGGGAAAAAGCAAAACACATGGCTGGAGCTGGCTTAGCTGTGTCTGCCTCCCCTCCCCCTGGGATGCCTGACCAGGGCCAGGAGTGCACCCAGCTCTGTGACTCTGGGCTGGCACGCTGGGTGTCCAGCAAGTTTACGGGTCCTTAGCTTACATTGCTTGAATGACTACTGAATACAGGGCTCTAGAATACAACCTCTGCCCACTGGGGCATGAGTAATATGCCCCAAAGCAGTGGGTCCCTGGGGTGCGTAATACCCTAAAGGTGGGGACAGGTCTGCCCCAGGTGCACTTAGTCCACTGCCTGACTCATAGTAGGCTCACTGAAGCATCATCAGGTGAAGACAGTTGCTCCAGAGGAGGAAGGATGCTCAAGCTGGGAGCACTAGGCCAGGCCCACTACCCCTTCCCTGTAGCTCTTGGGATTTTGACAGGTGGGAGAAAGAGGGACCAGCCTGAGCAAAAGTGTAGGAGGAGGAGTGAGATTCTCAAAGCAGATTTCAGGTGAGTGAGTTTGGCAGCAGGGGAAGGGAGCAGGGAAGGAAGGTGAGACGAGAAGCCTGTGGTGTTTGGACCTGACTCCATGAGCAGTAGGGGTGTGGGCATGAGGCGAGGGACAAAGCTGCCTTTCAGGAAGAGTTATCTCGTGGCAGTTGGCAGGCATTGGAGGGCAGAGGGCTGACCCAGATGGGATCACAGAGTGAACCTGAGCTGAGGAAAGGGAGGCAGGATGTGCAGACCACTCCAAGAAATATTTTCCTAAGATGGGAGAACTCAAGCACATAGCTAGTTCATACAGACAGATAGGTAATTCAAGGCCAGCTGGGGGCCTTGAATGCCATAATAACATGCTTGGATTTTTGTCTTCTAGGCAGTAGGGCACCACTGAAGGTTTAGAGGGAAACTATAAGATTATCCTTTTGTTCGTTCATTTATTTATTCAACAAATATTTTATTTAACTTGCTTAAACAAATTTTTGCTAAGCACCTACTATGTACTAGGCACTATCCTAGGTACTTACAACATATCAATAAATAAAAATTCTTTCTTTCAAGGAACTTACATGTCAGCAGGAAGAGATGAGAGAAAGCATAATAAACTAGTAAATTATATAGCATGTTAGAAGGTGATAGGTACTATAGAGAAAATAAAAGGCAGAGAAGGGTCAGGAGGGTGGACTGAGAATGCTAGGGGTGGGATGCAGATGCCAACATTAAACAGGGTGGTCAGGGTAGGTGTGGAGAAGTTGGGGTTCCTATGGCCAGGATCCTCACTGAACTTAAACCACTTGATGATGTAACTGGCCTGTTGCTAGGCTACTGCTTCCACATCTGTAGGCAATAAGCTATTATTGCACTATATAGAGAGCTCGGCCCGGTGCTCTGGGCAGAGGCAGAGACCTTAGTGCTCGGCCTACTGCTGGGAGAACAAGCCAGGTAATAAACCTTTTCACCCCAAAGAAACGTTCTACTGTCATTTCTTTGGTCGCACTGAATCCATAGTGAACTTTCCAGGAGCTAAAACCCATTGACAAGACAGTGGGCTTCGAGATGGAAGACTTAAGGAGCCTGAAGGGGAATGCCAGAGAGAACAGCAAGTACAAAGGCCCTGAGGCAGGAATGTGCCTGATGTTTAGGCAGAATCAGGAGGCCACTGGCTAGAGTGGTACAGGAGAGGCAGTAAGAGACGTCACAGGCTGGTGGACAAGGGCACTATGCAGGTCTGTACAGGCTCTTGGGTATGTGAAGTGGAGATGTCACTGAGTAGTTGGATATAGAGTTTGGGGATTTGGAGAGTGTGGAAAAAAAGTGTGAGCTGGAGAGATAAACATGGGAGTGAGTCATTGGCATGTAGCTGGGACTAGATGAGACCACTAAGGAGGTGAGTGCAAATGGAGAAAGAGATGGAGAAGAGGCAAGGACTGAGCCCTGGGGCACTCTGATGCCAAGAGGGAGAACCAGCAAAGAGACAAGGAAGGAAAGACCAGTGAGGAAGGGAAGACCCAGAAAGTGTGGGCAGGGATTTGGACCCCTAGGGCATGGGTGGGAAGAGACCAGAACCCCAAGGAAATTGTTCAGGAAGAGGAGAGGGCCTGGGCTGGTATGACAGCAGAGGGGCCAGGTGGGAGATGTTATCATTCCAATGTTACCCTTGAAGAAACCAGGGCCCAGAGAGGTGAAGGTTAAGCATCTAGCTCAAGGTCACAGCATGAAAGAGGTACAGCCACTTGTAGTGAACTTTGAAGTGAACAATATTACATAGTCAAAAGTGTGAACTCTGAATATTTATTTAACAAAAGCCTGTGATGTTCTACATGGAAGGATGAAGAACCTCAACTGGAGAGAATGTGAGAGGCACAGCCCCACCTTCCAAACAAAAGAAAAGAGTGGTGTGGGGAAAAAGAAAGTTCCTTTGGCCAGGATCCTCACCTGACCCTAAACTACTTGATGATGTAACTGGCCTCCTGATAAGCTACTGCTTCCACACCCATAGGCAATGAGCTATTATTGACTGAGCCAATCTACAAAGAGCTCTGCCTAGTGGTGTGGGTGGAGGTAGAGACTAAGGTGGATTATGGACCTGCAGACTGCTGGATGTAGATGATTCTAGAGCTCAACCTACCACCAGGAGAATACAGCCGGGTATAAACCCTTTTATCCCAAGAACATTCCGTTGCCGTTTCTCAGTCTCATCAAATCCATAGTGAACTTGTGCGGGGCTGAAACCCTTGGGTAAGACAGTCACCCTAGGCTTTGTAATTTAGCAAGCTCTCTCCGCATTCCTTGCTCCTTTGAGCTCACACCCACCCAGAAAGGTGGGTGGGGCAGTGGATGGCCTCCCCCATTTTCAAGGAGAAGCAGCTAAAGCTCAGAGAAGCTCCCTATCCCTTCCCTGGGAGAGGCTGAGAGAGGAGCTGGGCTCTTCAACCGTCTGCATCTATTGCTTTGATAAAATAAAAAACTGATTTAGAAAAAGTGGAAATCTAGAAAGACAGAAAGCAGATCAGTGGTTGCATGGGAGGTATGGGCTGCAAAGGTGAGCAAGGGAACTCAGGGAATGATGAAACAGTCTTTATTTCATGTGTTTTTTGCAGGCTGTACAACTGTCAGACTCATTGAATTGTGCACTTTAAACGGTGCAAGTTATTGTCCTTAAATTATAGCTCAGTTAGAGAGAGAGGAAATGAGGAAACAGGGGCAACAATAGCCTGCTAGGAGAGCTCACACTCGGAATGACACCTGCTCATTTGCACACACAGGCTCTGCTGCCTTCACACACCTTCTGACCCGTTGCACGTGGAAATAAGCCCAGCCGCCTCCCTTGAGTGAGAACCCAGTTCTTTAGAAGGCTGCCACAACACTGAATTATTTTCTCTGTTCCCAGGACTCCAATCTGTCTGTGCATACCGACAGCCCAGACCTCACTCCCTGCTTCCAGAACTCGCTGCTGGCCTGGGTCCCCTGCATCTACCTGTGGGTGGCCCTGCCCTGCTACCTCTTCTACCTGCACCGCCACCATCGAGGCTACATTATCCTCTCCCACCTCTCCAGGCTCAAGACGGTCAGGGCTGTGGGGCTCCCCTGTGGGTATGGCTGGGACCTGAGGGGGTTCTCTTTTCAGTGACTCCCTCCCTCCACCCTCAGCTGCTGGCCTGCCACCCAGATCTGCAAATAAATGAGATACTCCCTGCTTGAGTGTTCTCCGGCAACACTCTCCCCACTCTTGAGAAGCTTCTGGCTGGTGCCCAGCCTGGCCCTCAGGAGCAGACCCCAGGCAGGTCTGCTGACTTCAGGAGCAAAGACCCCTCCTCAGTGGGGACTGTCCCTACCTTCAGGGATGGAGGCTCCAACATGTGCCCTGTTTGTAGGCCTTAGGTGTCCTGCTGTGGTGTGTCTCCTGGGCTGACCTCTTCTACTCCTTCCATGGCCTGGCTCATGGCTGGGCTCCTGCCCCCATCTTCTTTGTCACCCCCTTGGTGGTGGGGGTCACCATGGTCAGTGTGGGGCCCTGGGAACTCATGGGGTCTCCAGTGGGTTGTGTGATTGAGATGGGGGCACCATGGGCCCTGAGGAGTAGGCTGGATGCCTGAGCGGTGGGAAGGGTATGGGAGTGACCCCAGAATCATCTGGCCACATGGGGTGAGGAGGAAAGAGGCAGGTTCAGATGTGTGTGCTTTGCCCTGGCCTCCCCCACCCTCCCTGCACAGCTGTTGGCCACCCTGCTGATCCAGCATGAGCGGCTGCAAGGAGTGCAGTCCTCGGGGGTCCTCATCATCTTCTGGCTCCTGTGCGTGGGCTGCGCCATCATCCCCTTCCGTTCCAAGATCCTTTCAGCTGTGGCAAAGGTAAGGGGGAAGAGAGGAACCCAGCCAGGCCCAGCATTGTCTAGGGCATTACCTCAGATCTCAAGGTCACTGCTAGGACCCAGACTCCTCCCTTCTCCTTCTCCCTGGCTCCCAGGACCTTTTTGTGTGTCCTCTCTTTGCTGGGTCTCTACAGGAAGCAGACTGGGAGGCTGGGGGTGGAGGACCAGTGTAACAGAGGCGAATGGGGTGAGATGCAGCCATTGTTGGACTTCCATGGAGTGCAGGGAACTGTCCCGTAGCCACTTCCACCCCTACCCCCACTAAGCACAATATCTGACAGGGCTGTCTGCCGATGATGGTGTAATGGACACGTGCAGACGTGCACACACAGTCTGGCTTACCTGGGAATCCTATTACCTCATTCTCCCCTTTCTTACCCCCTACCTCTGTGCCCAGCCTTCCTCTTGATCTTTGCTGGTGACGGGTGGTGGTCAGGAACACTGGGGGTCCATCTAGTGCATCCCCATTTCTCCATCTCAGGGGGAGGCTGTCAGGTGTGGTAGTAAGACCACAGTCTCGGACACTCCCCTCACTTTGGGATCCTGGGCGAGGGCTTACCCTTTGGCATTCCTCAACTACAAACTGGGTATCCTAAGATTTATGCCTTGTAGGGAGGGTTGGACAGGGTCACGGAGATGAGGTGCTTGGCACAATGCCTGGTGCAGGGCAAGTCCTCACTGAACAGTGGCCCCCTCATGACCCTTCCCCATCTCTCAGAACCCTCTGAGCAGGGAACCCAGGTCCCCCCAGGTGTCACCCCTCAAGGCAGAACTGCCAGCCCTAGTTCCCTGAGCCCTTGATGCCCCTCTGTATCCTCCCCACCAGGGCAAGATCTCCGACCCCTTCCGCTTCACCACCTTTTACATCTACTTTGCCCTGGTGCTTTTTGCCCTCATCCTGTCCTGCTTCAAGGAGAAGCCACCGTTTTTCTCCCCAAAGAATGTCGAGCCCGTGAGTTTTCCATGGAGGCTGGGTGGTAGTGGCGGTGCCTCAGCCCAGCCCTTACCAGCCACCCCTATCCCTTCCAGTCCTTCTGTCCCCATGTCAGCTGCACAGTGCATAAACTAGGCCTGGAGCAGGAAGTAACAAGGAGGCCTTCCTCCTTCCACTCTTCCTTGAGAACGTGGTGGGTGCTCTGGTTTCCCCCATCCCACCCTCTCACTTTCTAGAACCCTTGCCCGGAGACCAGTGCTGGCTTCCTCTCCCGCCTGTCTTTCTGGTGGTTCACAAAGTGAGTTGGCTGCTCCTCCAGCCTGGGTCAGAGGGAGGGGGATAGAGGGAGGAAGGGGAGCAGGCTGGAAATTCAGGCGCCTGAGAAGTTGGGCCTGGCTGGCCCCCCCATACGCCAAACCCTAACCCCAGTGGGCATTGGGGCAGGTGAGGGTGGGAAAACCTGTCCGTTAGGGTTGGGGGCTGACTGCAGAGGCCCAGCCTGGCCCAGCTCCTATCCCAGGCCACAGGCCAGCCCTGCATCTGGCAGACCACAGGTATGGGCCCAGGGGGCTGGAGGAAAGCTGTAATTAGTTTCAAGCTTTATAGTTTGGGATAAGCTTGCAGCTTGTCATTTCTTTGGCTGCCCTCAGCATGGCTTGAGCAGGATAATAGTGTCTGTGACCTGGGTGACTGCACATCGGCCATCTAACACTGAGAAGGCACCTCATCCACCTGACCACATACTTGCCCTTGGACCCAGCCAGTGTGAATTTCATGTCAGGGTCCAGGAGTCAATGGGGCATCTGGGGACAAAGCAGGGAGGGGGCTTGAGGTAGGAATTTGACCCCCAGCCTGTTCACTGGGAGAATAAAGGAGACACTGCCCTGGCCACAGCACCCCAGAGAGACCCTCCTCTCTGGAGACCCTAGGGCTTTGGAGACCCTAGCTCTAGGCTGTTGAACTCTGACCGTGTGTGGGGCTCTCTGCCACCCAAGCATGGCCATCCTCGGCTATCGACGGCCCCTGGGAGAGAAGGACCTCTGGTCTCTGAAGGAGGAGGACCGCTCGGAGGCAGTGGTGCACAGGCTGCTGGAGGCATGGAAGAAGCAGGCAGCGGGGTAAGCCCTCCCCAGGTGCCATGTCTCTCCACGCAGGCCCTTCACACAGTCAGGTCTCCTGCAGGGGAGGCTCATAGGTGACCACATTGCTGAGGGTGGGGACGAAAGCAGGTGCAGGTGGTCAGGAGATGGACCTCTCCCAGCTCTGCTGGCACCTTCAGAGCACTTACTCTGTCCCTCCAGCTGAAGGGCCTTCCCATGGGCAGCCTCCCATAGAGGATCCTGGAACTAATCTCTTGCCAACTGCCCCACCAAAAGAGCTGGGATTCAGAGTCCTCTTTCCCTACGCATTTCTACTGCAGGACAGAACCACCTTCCCTCCCACCACACCCCAGGGCCCAGGAGTGAACTGAGGGCTTGTTCAGCCCGGAGCCCCTGGTTCCTGACTGGCTGTTGGAGGAGCTGGGGACTTGGGTGTGGTCTGAGTGTCTTGGCTTCCATGGGTTGGAGCCTCTGAGAAGACCTGTGCACCCCAGTTGGCCGGCTGCACCCCCTCTTTTCCTCTCCACACCACATCCAACCTTCCCCACTCAGCTTCCCAGTGACTAGGCCACCAGCCGTCCCTGCCCAGGTCTCCTTTGCCTATGAGTGTCCTCCTGGAAGCTGGTCCTGGGGAAGCAGGGAGGGGGCCAGAGGAACTAAGGGGATTATAGTCCTCAGGGTGGCACCAGGGCCGCCCTTCACATAGCCTCCAGCAGCTGAAGACAGGCGCTTGGGGAACTCTCAGTTGGCAGGGCACATTGTGAGCCCCCCACGACCAGTCCTGAATGCCAAGAAAGCAGCTCCCCCTCCTCCCCACTCCTTGCCAGCCCTAGTCCATGTGCCCATTCCTACCCACTGCTCCTTCCCGGACCAGACCCAAGGATACAGCAGCATCTGGGAAGAAAGTCTCCAGTGAGGATGAGGTGCTGCTAGGGGGCCAGCCCAGGCCCCGGGAGCCCTCCTTTCTGAAGGCCCTGCTGGCTGCCTTTGGCCCCAGCTTTCTCATCAGCGTGTGCTTCAAGCTGATCCAGGACCTGCTCTCCTTTGTCAACCCACAGCTGCTCAGGTCTGACCACACTCTCTCATGCTGCAGCCCTTCCCTGGGAGGGGTGGGGGCTGTCTGGCTGTTGCTGAGGACTGAGCCCAGAGGAAGGGACAGCAGGTAGTCAGAAGAATCCCAGAACAGGAACTGAAAGACCTGTCTGCACTTCCTGTGTGACGTTTGGCAAGTGGCGATGCCTCTGCACATCAGTTTCACCATTCACACCCAACTTTAATTTACTAGGTACCTACCATGTGCCAGGCACCCTGGTGAGTGCATTAACAAACATTCTCTCTTTAAATCCTCCCAATAGTCCTACAGAGAGGTGCCCCCATTCCTATTTTTACAAATGAGGAGACAAAGTCAGAGAAATGAAGTGACTTACCCAAGGGCACCCGGCTTGTAAAGATGGAATTGAGTCCAGGGCTCTGAACTACAGCTATAGTGCTCTTTCCAGATGATAGGCGCTGTCATCTTTCACATGAGTGGCTTGGACTAGAAGGCGCCCTCAATTGAGGGGGTGGGAAGGAAAGCTGCCTAGCAGCTGAGCCCCGGCAACCTCTTGCCCCTCCATTCATGCATTCATCCATTCAGCAAACATTTATTGAGCCTCCAGGGTACCAGAATGTGCTAGACACTAGAGATACAGAGATAAATAAGATACTGTCTTAAAGTCTTAAGAAACCAAGAATAAATTCATCAGAGTACAATGTGTGCAGAAGTGTGCCCAGTTGTCTGGAAAACCCAGGGAGGGACAAAGAAGTCAGCTTGGAAAGGCACAAGGTACACCTGCCAGCCAGTGAGATTATCAAGTTTGGAAGGACAAATTAGTTAACTAGGTGAGGATGGAGGGAAACACGTAACCAAAGGAAAATCACCAAGGCCTGCAACAGCATGACTCAACAACTCCAGGCATTTCTGGAGGAAAGGGTAACTAGAAGGAGGGTGGGGAAGGAGAGCTAAGGAAATCCTTGAAAGATTTGAAGCCAGGGAGGAGCATCTGGTTTCCATTTCAAAAGAATCCCCCTGCCAGTAGTGTGGGGGATGTAGGGCAGGGTGGCCAGGTGGAAGTGGGCCAACCAGGTCAGAGGAGAGTCCAGGCCAGCAATGAGATAGGATTCAGGAGCTCCTGGGGAGGTCAGTGTGTGTGGCAGGGAGAGGGAGGGGTCAAGGGCGACCTGGGTTCTGACGTGGGTACTACAAATTATTAACTCAGTGGGCGGAAGAGGCTGGGCACCAGACAGGGTGGTGAGCTGAATCTTAGCCACATTGGCCCCCAGGTGCTGATGGGCCCCCATTGGGGAGATTCCCAGCTAGCTGGAGATCACATTTTCAGAGCCATCAGGTGAAAGCGCTGATTTGTGGCTGAGCTTTCCTAGAAAGCCCATGTGGAGGCCTCAGACAGAGCCCTGGGGGATTCTGACAAGCAAGGGGTGAGCAGAAAACTGGCTTGTAGGGCCAGAGCTGGGAAAAGCTGTGATCCATCGGTTGCGGGGTAAAGCGCAGAGAATGCTTCCAGGGAATGGCATGGCCTCCATGAAGCCAATGAAATAGAGGCTGAAAAAGGCAACATGGAGGTTGTTAGTGATTTTACTAAGAATAGAGGCTGAGACAGAGGGGAAGAGCCTGAGAGCTCAGCGTCTGCAGTTGAGACAGGGCCACGGACATCTAGAAACTTCCCTGTAAAGAAAAGTGTAGTAGTTTCTTGTGGCTGCCGTAACAAATCACCACAAACGGGTGGCTTAAAATAGAAACATATTCTCTAACCGTTCTGGAGGCTCGAAGTGTGAAATCAGGGTGTCGGCGGAATCGGCTCCTTCTAGAGACTCTGAAAATCTGTACCATGCCTCCAGTTTCTGATGGTTGCTGGCAATCCTTCCCATTCCTAGGCTTGTAGACGCCTCACTCAGAACTCTGCCTTCATCTTCACATTGTGTTCTCCGGCGGTGTGTGGGTGCGCACGTGTATGTGTGCATCCGTGTCTCTGTGTGCAAATGTCCCTCTCCTTTCTCTTATAAACACACCAGTCACTGGAGCCCTTCCTACTCCAGTATGACCTAATCTTAATTTGAATACATCTGCAAAGATCAAATAAACTCACATTCACAGGTACAGAGGTTAGGGTGCCAACATATTCTTTTGGGAGAGACACAGTCAATCCACAGCAGGAGAGGCCTGGCTGCAGCTATGGCAGGAGCTCCATGGAGTTGAGGGAAGGTTTGTTCCAACATGGAAGAGACTTAGTCATGTTCATAGGTGAAGGTAGAGAGCAGGCATCAGAGATGAAGATACTGGAGCTCAGGAGAAAGGGGGGCACAGTGAGGGAGCGTGTTCCTGATGAGGTGGGGAGTTTGTGCTTGGCAAGGAGTTCTCAGTAAGTGGGAAAATGTGAGCGGGGTGACTGCTGAGAGGGGTGAGGAGTGGGGACAGGTGAGGAGGGAAGAGGGAGAAGTGAGGAGGGCCAAGGGGGAGAAGTGGGATTAGGGCCCAGAGAAGGTCTCAGGGCAGAACTGGGGGCTACCGAGGTTGGAGAGGAAGAACTTGAGGGGAAAAAGTCTGTGTGGTCATGGGTGGCCTCTAGAACCCCCAGCAGCCTGGGAAAAGGGCCAGGAGATTCTAATCAGTGGGTGTGCAGCAGTTCTTCCTGCCGTGCACTCCAAGGAGGCAAGAAAGGCAGGTGAGGCTGGTAGAGGGAGGGTAATAGAAGGGGTAAGCGGTGGGGCCCAGGCAGAAAGGAAAGGAGGTGAAGGCAGAAGGGAGCAAAGATGGAGGGTCATGGTCATGAGGCAGCACTGGACTGAGTCCCCTGGTCTGGGAGGGTGGGAGTGATGGCCAGCAGCCCCCACCTGAAAGGTTTCAGAGGCAGGGCAGAGGGAGGCTGAGGGTGAAAGGGGAGGACAGCAGTAGGGGGCAGCCTGGGGGGCCTCCCTCCCTCATGCCACTCTCCTCCTGTTACAGCCTCCTGATCAGATTTATTTCAAACCCCAGGGCCCCTACCTGGTGGGGCTTCCTGGTGGCTGCGCTGATGTTCGTGTGCTCCACGATGCAGAGTCTGATCTTACACCAGTACTTCCACTGCATCTTTGTGACTGGGTTGAAGCTTCGTGTGGGGATCACAGGTCTCGTCTACAGGAAGGTCAGCTGGAGCAGGGTGCAGGTGGCTAGGGAGCTTTGGAGAGGCTCAGGGACCCAGCCCGTTGCCCTGTTGTCCCCCTGCAGGCTTTGGTCATCACCAATTCTGTCAAGCGTGAGTCCACTGTGGGAGAAATCGTCAATCTCATCTCAGTGGATGCCCAGCGCTTCATGGACCTTGCCCCCTTCCTCAACCTGATATGGTCAGCACCCCTGCAGGTCATCCTGGCCATCTACTTTCTCTGGCAGGTGATTCTGAAACCCTGACCTCTTCTCCCTTCCTCTGACCTTGAACTTGCTGAGAAGGGACAAGACAGGGTAATTCTGGGTCAGTAGAGAGGCTGCATAATGGACACAAGAGCTATCCTAGATATTGGGGTGGGGGCCAGGATTGCAAGGATGCTGGTGTCTGCAATCAAGGCTTTCCGGCCTGTGTCATCATCCTTCTGACAGATCCCAGAAAAGGAAAGGGAGCATATGGAAGCAGGATGGGCGTGACTCTGGCTGTCATTGTCTGTCTGTCTGTATTGGCCTTCCTGTGTGTCTGGACACCCTTCTATGTCTGCCTGTTTGTCCTCATCTGTTGTCGTTATCTGTTGGCTGGCTGCTTCTGCAAATGTCTTCATCATCTCAGCTTTCTCTATGTCTGCTTTCCATTATCTGTTTGACTGACAATCATCTTTTGCTTCCTGCCCAGATCCACATATCAGATCAAGAACCTGTTGTCCATTGGGTTCTGTCTGTACACTTTGGTTATCTGTCTGTCTTATCAATCCACTTGTGCCTCCTCAGATCCTGGGTCCCTCAGTCCTGGCTGGAGTTGCTCTCATAGTCTTGCTGATCCCACTCAACGGAGCTGTGGCCATGAAGATGCGTGCTTTCCAGGTGGGTGCTGTCACAGTACACCGCTCCTGCCTGGAGCACCTGGCCTGAGGGAGGGCATTCACTAGCCTCAGTTGCTTTGTGTACTGAATATGGATGACTACAAGCCACTTTCACAGACCTTAGCTCACTCTGTCCTCACAACAACTCTGAGAGGGCTTTAGAAACCTTTTCATTTTGTAGCTGAGGAACCAAGACCTGGAATGATGATGGCAGTCCAGAATTAGACAGAACTGGGACTCGAACCTATGCCTTCTGGCCCCCTGAGAGTTTCTCCCACCATACTGTGCTGAGTGCAAATAGCCTATCATCCAGTCCTTTATTCACAAATGTTTATTGTACTCTTCAGTAGCTTCCCACCGCACATAGAATAAATGGCAAACTCCGCAGGACCACCCTGCAAGCTATCACCCCCCTGAGGTATGGTCAAGCTGTAGCCAGTCCGACCTTTCTTATGTCCAAAGCACCAAGCCACCATTCACACTGTTCCCTGGAACGCGCTTCATCCCCTCCTTGCCTGCCCAACTCCTTCCTTTTCTTCGCCTCTCAGCATAAACCCTGATGATCAAGGCCAGTACCTCGTTTGAGCTGGTCATCATCATCTGCCCCACATCTAGCACGTGACCTGGTACACTCTAGGCACTCGATAAATACGGGTTGAATGAATGAATTAATTTGGTGTGCCACACTGTAGGTTAGGCTCTAGGAGAACAAATGTATAAGCCATCTGTACCTTTAGACCACAGTCTACCTGGGGGTGCAGGCACAGCCAGAATCACTACAAAAGGAAATCACTACATGGCTTAGACACCTGGGGGAGGGGGAAGAAATTGCCGCCTGGGGGTGGTCAGTGACTGTAGCCCTGAGTCCAGAGCTGGCTTTTGTTAGGCATTCCAGGCTGAGGGGCCCTGGAGGCCCGGCAGGGGGGCAGGGCAAGAAGTCTGAATGGCTACAGTGTATTTGAAGGCGTGCAGGCATGAGCTGGTGGCAGAGGTCCAGCGAGAGGAGTGGGACGGGCCCCTGCCGCTCTTCCCTCAGGTAGAGCAAATGAAGTCCAAGGACTCACGCATCAGGCTGATGAATGAGATCCTGGGCGGCATCAAGGTGTTGAAACTGTATGCCTGGGAGCCCAGCTTCTTGGAACAGGTGGAAAGCATCCGGCAGGGCGAGCTCCGGCAGTTGCGTAAGACAGCCTACCTCCACGCCATAGCCACCTTCATCTGGGTCTGCACCCCCTTCCTGGTGAGCTCTCCCGGTGGCCCCGGCCTCCCACCTGGTCAGCCTGGGCCTTGGGCCTGGCGGACTCCACCTCAACATCTCCCACCCCTGCTTCCACTGCCCAGGTGACCCTGATCACCCTCGGGGTTTACGTGTGTGTGGACCAGAACAATGTGCTGGATGCTGAGAAGGCCTTTGTGTCCGTGTCCCTGTTCAATATCTTAAAGATTCCCCTCAACATGCTGCCCCAGTTAATTACCAACCTGGCCCAGGTAACCCCAGGAAGGGTTGGGGGTTCTGATAGAGTTAGGGCACTTTGGGGGGTCAGGGGATAATCAAGGAGAATTAAGAACCAGGGGAGGCCCATCTGGCATTATGAAGAATTGTTCAGAGTTGAATGAGGCCATTAGAGTCAGGGTCATTTGGAGTCAGAGTAGGTCATGTAGGGTCCCTGGAAACCTGAGTTTTGGAGACAGCCTTCTCTACCAACCTGGGCCCTATCTTTGACAGAGGGAGCTAGGGAAGATTCGGTCATGGGAGGGGTCCCAGGCACTGGCCCTTAGGGTCTCTGCCTTACCCAGGAAGTTGGGAGCTAGGTAAGTGCAGGAGTGGGTGAGGTAAGAAAAGTACAGTTTCCAGGCTGACTCAGATCCTCTTGCAGACCAGTGTGTCTCTGAAGCGGATCCAGCATTTCCTGAGCCAAGATGAACTTGACCCCCAGTTTGTGGAAAGGAAGACCATCGCCCCAGGTCCAGACACCCTCTTCTGGGGCTGCTCCATCCAGAAAATCCTGTTCCGAGCTCTTCACTTTTCTCTTGTGGCCCCCTTTTCTTCTCCCTGCTTTAACTCTATGCCCTACCTTCTCCCTCTTCTGGGCCCTCTGTTCTCTTCTACTTCATCCCTCTTCCAGGCCTCTCTCCTTTCTTTCCTAGGGCTCCCCCTGCACCTCCCTCTGCCACCAGCTTCCCTGCCTTCTCTCTTTGGCCTCTGCCCCCAGGGCTCCCCACACCTCTCCTCCCCCTTGCCCTGGGCCCCTGACCCTGTACACCCTTGGTCCTCCCAGGCTATGCTGTCACCATACACAATGGCACCTTCACCTGGGCCCAGGACCTGCCCCCGACCCTGCACAGGTACCAGCTGCTCCCACCCTGTCTCAGCTGCCTAAAGTGGGCCAAAGTTCAGATGAACAACAGAAGCCACCCCCATGCTGGCCCCCCAACTCTTTTGCCCTGGAAAATAGGAAGAATCTCAGCCAATCAGGGGAGTGTCTGACAGGGAGAAGGGTTGAGCTCTCCCAGGAGAAGGCTGGGGAACAAAAACTTGATCCCTGCCTCTGACTGGGCTCCTGGCCTCTTTGCCCCTAGCCTAAACATCCAGGTGCCCACAGGGGCACTGGTGGCCGTGTTGGGACCTGTGGGCTGTGGGAAGTCCTCCCTGGTGTCTGCCCTGCTGGGAGAGATGGAGAAGCTGGAAGGCAAGGTGTATGTGAAGGTGAGAAGGGTAGAGAATCCTGGGAAAGGAAGCTTCGCCAGGCCTTGGGCAGACCCCAAGGTAACCTTCTCCTGCGGCCAGGGCTCTGTGGCCTATGTGCCCCAGCAAGCGTGGATCCAGAACTGCACACTTCAGGAAAACGTGCTGTTTGGCCAAGCCCTGGACCCCAAGCGGTACAAACAGACTCTGGAGGCGTGCGCCCTGCTAGCCGACCTGGAAATGCTGCCTGGCGGGGACCAGACAGAGATTGGAGAGAAGGTACAGGATCCCCTCCCATCCTCTGGGGAGACGGCTATACAGCGGCCCACCTCAACCCAGCCCGGATCCATAAATGCACTCATTCAGCATTTATTCACTCTTTCATGTAATAACACTGCAAGGACTGTGGCTTTTACCAAGAGTGATGGAAAGCTTTTGAAGGTGTGAGCTGAGGACTGGCGGGTGGCCTGGCATTCTGGTACAGCTTGGTGTGACTAGAGGTTAGGAAGGGGCAGGCTGGGGCACAGGGCAAGTTAGAGCCTCGAGGACCTTGGTTAAGGTTTTGATCTTTACCCTAAAAACCATGGGACATCAGTAACAGTTTTTGATTTTTAATTGTTGCAAAATATGCATAACAAAATTTATCATTAACCATTTTTGTGTACAGGTCAGTAGCATTAACTACATCCACATTGTGGTGTAACCAATCTCGGGAAGTCTTTTCATCTTGCAAAACTCAAACTCTGTCCGATTAAACTACACTTTTGAGGAGTACAGGCCAGTCATTTTGTAGAATGTGTCTCAATTTGAACATAATTAGGTTCAGGTTATATTCTTTTGGGGGAATACCAAAGAAATAAGGTTGTGTCCTTCTTGGTGTGTCATATCAGGAGGCACGTGACGTTGGCTCATGTCTTTTTGACCATGGCAACTTTGAGCACTTGTTTGAGGTGGTGTCTTTCATTGATGACTTCATTTAACAGCTTTCACTGATGATTCTTGCCTGAGTCAGTGTTTACTATGAGGTCTGCCCAGTGGTGATTTCCTAATTCCATTCCTTCTCTAGCTATTAGCTGGCATTCTACTCTAAGTAAGAGCTTTGCCCTCCTTCCCCTTTTATACTTACACTTATACATTCATTTCTTTTTATCAACATGGGCTCATGGATTCTTATTTAGTTCAATGGGTTTTAATTCACTACCATCATTATTTATCTTGATGTTCAACTTTTCAGTGAAGGGTTTTAATCAGGGACAGGAATTGTATTTTGAAAAGCTGCCCTGGCTGCAGCGTGGAGGGGCCCAAAGGCACAAGAACCAGTAAAGAGGCTCTTGTGACAATGGGGGAGGTGATAAGGGCCTGAGCCTGGCAGAGGGGATGGGAAATTTCACGAAGATATCGAGGGTTATAGGATCCAGAGAAGACCTCCCCATCACTGAAGTGGAACTCCTCCTTCCCTTCTCTCCTGTACCCACACTGACCTCACACCTAATTTAGTGCCCAGCACATAGTGGGCACTCAAGGAAGACTGATTGTTTGAATACAGGCATGCTCACGTGTCTCAGTCATTAAGGTGCACACCACCCCCTGCTTCTCCCCAGCAGCTCCAGCTCCCACCCCACATTTGCTCTCTCCAGGGTCAGTTTCTCAGGGTAAGGAGCTGAGCCCTGTTGCGGAGGGAATAAGGAAAGCTGGTAGCAGGGAAGCAGGCTGTGTGTCTGGGGTTTGTCCTCTGGGCCCAGCCCTGCAGGTATGTGCCTCGGTTTCCCCATCATGGGTTTATAGGGAGATCTTACCTCCCCTTGGCACCTGAATGATCTCAGGGTTGATGAATTCTGGAGTTGATACAGGGTTTATGTCCTTGCTTCTGCCCTTAATAATAGTTCAGATCCTTAGACAAAGACATCAACATCATGGGCTCTAATTTCTTCATCTGGCAAGTGGGGCTCATGATACCATCCTAGAAGGACTGACATGAAGACCAAATGGGATAACTATTATGAAAGTCATATGCAGACTGTATGGGCAGTGGGAGATTAAAAGGTCTATTAAGGACCTTCTAGGGATTTCCAGCCTTCTAGAGTATGAGGGTCGCGGGCAGGGAAACCATCTGAACAGGGTGGTGGAGAAAAGGAAGGAGGATGCCCTCCCCCTGCCCTGGGAGGGTTCTGAGAGCCATCACCCCTTCCTCCACTCCTGAGAGCTTCACAGGGATAGGACCCTGTGAAATGTGAATTTAAGAAATTCACATATGAAATGTGAATTTAGAGGTCTGCCTTGCTGAATGACAGGGCCCTTACAAGTGATGTGGCCCTTGTTCCCCTGTGCCTGACTCCCTTCTACCTAGTACACATCTCCCACCTCCCTCCTCTATCCAGGGCATTAACCTGTCTGGAGGCCAGCAGCAGCGGGTCAGTCTGGCCCGAGCTGTTTACAGTGAGGCCGACACTTTTTTCCTGGATGACCCACTGTCAGCCGTGGACTCCCACGTGGCCAAGCATATCTTTGACCAAGTCATCGGGCCAGAAGGTGTGCTGGCAGGCAAGGTGAGGCCTTCAGGAAGCTAAGGGAGCTAAGGTGAGATCTAGGGCCCTAGGAGAGAACTTGTAAGAGGCCAAGAGGTTTGGGTGAGACCTGGAGGTAAGGAGGACCTGAGAGGCAGGAGTGTAGGTTGAGTGGCAGGGGAAAGCCATGGTGGGTCATACCCCAGAGGTGCTGAACCAGCTGTAGGGAACCTAGGTGCCTGTCTCTGCTCCCTGGTACACGGGTGCTTCATACCCGCTCCCTGGGCCCTTGCCTGTAGAGGGGGTGTGTGCTGAGGGCAGAGAGGGTGTAGCCTGCTGCCTTTCCCGCAGACACGTGTGCTGGTGACACACGGCATCAGCTTCCTGCCCCAGACGGACTTCATCATCGTGCTAGCTGATGGACAAGTATCCGAGGTGGGCTCCTATTCAGCCCTGCTGCAGCACAATGGCTCCTTTGCTAACTTCCTCCGCAACTATGCGCCGGCTGAGGTCGAGGAGCACCTGGAGGACAGCAGGACCGGTATCTGCCATCCCCGGGCCTCTGTATTCTTGTGCCCTCCCAGCATCTCCCCTGTCGTGGGGTCTCTGAGTGTTTCTGGATGGGCCCAGTGTTGTGCAGGGAGGTTCTGGGGAGCTTGAGCCATCTGTGTGATGTCAGACATCACCAAGAGGGAAAGTGAACTGGACATAGTCAAGTCCCTCCCTGTCCTCTTCCTTACCTGTACAACCTTGGGTCAGCAGCTCCAGCCTCAAAGGCACAGTTTCCTGTGTGTCAAAGGGCACAAAGGCCCAGGCCCAGCTGGTCCAGCAAGGACTTTACAAATAAATTATTTGGTAAATATGCAAGTGCTTAGGAAAGTCATTTAGTTATCACCAGATATATTTCTTTTTTTTTTATTTTGCTATC